TGTACCCCAGTTCTGTATGAATAAATAAATAAATCTTTAAAAAAATTAAAATTTAGTAAAAAATAATTGTTTACTTTTACATGTGTATAGTTTTACAAAGTGATTTATATCAATATTCTTGCTTACTAGAGTTCATCCTGTGTGCATTGAGTAGATGATTGAAATTATAAAATATAATTTATATATTTTTTTCAGGGATTATGTTCTTTTTAAAGTAGGGTTATCTACAGTGCACACCAGCAAATTTTTACAAAGAAGTCAGCTGAAGAGTATTTTAAGTGGTGGTTTCACTGCTCAACAAAACATGATTCATAATCTTGTTGAATATAAAGCCCTGAGGAGGGAAATGTGTTCCGGAATAAAGGCTAACATTAAAAGGAGTTTAGAGCAGGCTGGCTTGTCATGTGTCTGAGACTATAAAAAGGAAGAGGAAGTTACATAATTCAACAGAACAAGTGACCTATGAGTGATCAACTCTTTATTTTTAAGGTATAATAAAAGTTTTAGAAAAAACAATGCTCATTATAATAACACTAGTCAGTATTAATATTTCAGCAATATAGACTTTCACAGTTAAAAGCAAAATAATTTTTATCTTACTGAAAGAGTACTTTCCTATGTGGTTAATAAACACCAGAAAATAAATTATGGAACTCAGGTGATACAAAAATCAATGAGACACACTCGTGTGGAATGTGAATGAGTTCATACTCCATCGATTTTACTTTCTTAATGTAACCCAGATGTTCTGAAATACTTCAGATATTATTAAAAATTAAAGTGAATATATGTGGTCTCAAAATATTATAATTAGGGTTCCTTTAAAATTATTTTTAACAATGATGTATAAATAAATTTGTTTACCAGCTTGGTACTTCAAATCTACTATAGAAATTCTGAGGGTGTTATCTACCACTTCTGCATATTTTGTGATCTAGGAATTCTGCATCAAGTGAGTTAAAATTTATGTTTTTTGTTGCATAAATATTATAGCCACTGTGAGAAAGGAGAAAATAGAAACTTGAAACAAAGCACACATCTCAATTGACAACTGAAACTCTTGTTTTAAAAGTCACCACCTTTGCTTTAAAAATTATCAAGCCCAGGGCTCTCCCTGGTGGCACAGCAGGTTAAAGCACAGTACTAAGAAACTAAAGCCACTTCAGCATGAGTTCGATCCCCAGCCCCGGAGGTGACCCACATGGCGGTGGCAGACCTCTCCTGACTGCCCGCTGCTCCCCCCAGCAGTGCACTTTGTTAATCTTCCTGTTTTGTTCCCCACTCTGTCTCTGTTGAATCCTCTCACCACCCCTGCTCCTCTGGCCTGTACCCCAATTCTGTATGCATAAATAAATCTTAAAAAAAAAAAATTATCTGGCCCTCCCTGGTGGCGCAGCGGGTTAAAGCACAGCACTGGGAA